CTGCAATACCATTGATTTCGTACAGTTTTTTTTAATATATGTAGGGCCGGCAAATAGACTACACCGATTAGCCGATTAAACGGACCCAACATTTGTTTATTTTGTGCACTCATATGCACGGTGATTAGTTCAAATCACATATGTCTAGAACTCACGTTCCAAAATTTTCACTCATCTTTCTAATGTTCTGCCCGGTAGCTGCTTCGCTTTGTTTCGTGCAGAAGAGGGCTCTATACCTGCTGAGATGGCCAGCACTCCAAAGATGAGCAGGGGATACTCACATCTGTACATACCCTGAAAAAATAGGTTGAATGACAAATCAAAAACGTGATTTGATTAATAAGGCTAAAATGGTAAATATATTAATACACACACGTCATAAAAACGCGTGCAGCATCAAGTGCACGCAAACGTACATATATATATATATTAGTATACTATATATATAATATATAAATATAATATATATGTGTAGTGCACAAATGCAATACCATGAACTATTTGTAGTTTGAAATTTCCTTATCAAAAAATTTAAATTATGGCACGTAATAATTTGGTGTATGGTGTGATAGCACATAGTTGAGGTAATACCCGAATGCAGCATAGTCCAATAATAGCAACATATGGAGCTCAGAATCGCTGACAACGCGATACCCATGTGAAGTTGCGCCGCACTACGCCCTACAAAAACGGCACTAAGGATGGGTATTTTAGGATTTTCATCTAATAAAAACTTAAAAATCTAATAATTCATAAACCTGCAAATTTGTATACGTCTGTATTATTATTGTAACGATATCCTGTTGTGGTAATAATCGATCGCACATACAAATAAAGCAACGATGAGCTAGAATTGCCTGCCACGCGTGCCCATGTAAGTTTACTTCCAAGTCCAATGTTGCCGAACTGATAGATCGTCCCCTAATCGTACAGGTTAGCAAGTGACGTATTCAATCCTGTTCCAAACATACCCAACTGTTGCACACGTACAATGACCCAATCATCTGGCAACATCAGAACAATATTTGATTTGTGATAGGAGCACAATACGCGGTGCTAATGGGCAAAGTGATTCAACGTTGCGTGCAATTTGTGAAATGGCGTCCATCGATGCCAACTGCACCTCACATAATAACGATTTTATAAAGTGAGATTTGGATGTAATGACTTATGATGCTTCGTAAAAGCGCGCCCTTACAACAATGCATGTTTATACGCATACATACACGCACGCCGCACTCACAGCACACACCCCCATACACATATATACAAACAAACACAAACAGACAAACAGCAACAACCACACAGACATGAAACGAACCACACAACACACAGACAGAGCACGCCGCACAGATGG